AAAAAAAAAAAAAAGATGCTATTGGAGATGTTGTTCCTCTAAACCCAGTAAAGTACTGGCAAGGAATCAATACTTAGGAATGATTTGTACAAAACTTCAAAAGGCAAAAGCTTTTGCACAAGGATATGATAAACCTGGGAGGGGAAGATCATAACACAACAATTACTTTTAGAGCTATTAATATGTCCTTTTTGCTAAGACTTTACCTGTATAACGAATTTAATCCTCACAAGAATCCCATGAGGTATTATGTATTGCTATCATCCCCATCTTATAGATGAGGGCACTGCAGCAGCCAGGGGTTGAGCAGTTTACCCAAGAACATGTAGCTAATTAGTGGTAAAGACAGGATTTGAACCTGTAACACATGCTTTGACTATGGCACTGGGATGCCCCTAATAAACCTAAATGTTACTTTACATGAGATGCAGCCACTTGAGGGGCTGTTCGGTAAACATTAAAAATAACTGCAGAGGCCGGGCGCAGTGGCTCACGCCTGTAATCCCAGCACTTTGGGAGGCCGAGGCGGTGGATCACGAGGTCAGGAGATCGAGACCATCCTGGCTAACACGGTGAAACCCCCGTCTCTACTAAAAATGCAAAAACTTAGCTGGGCATGGCAGCGGGCGCCTGTAGTCCCAGCTACTTGGGAGGCTGAGGCAGGAGAATGGCGTGAACCCGGGAGGCAGAGCTTGCAGTGAGCCGAGATCGCACTACTGCACTCCAGCCTGGGCGACTGAGCAAGACTCCATCTCAAAATAAATAATAAATAAATAAATAAATAAATAAATAAGTAAAATAGCTGCAGAGATATTACAGAATAACATGGCAAAAAGCTTAGGACAAGATGGGGGAAATTTTTAAATGGAGGACAGAATTGCCTATACTATCAATTATAACTGTGTACATAGAAGGACGTGTGGACAGATCGGCTCTAGAAGAGAATGTGGAGAAACAGTATTGGAGTTCCAAATACTTCAATGACTTCAAGTATGGGGGATTGTTTCCCCATGTAAATCTTTTTCTTGAATAATGCACATATATTTAAATCTTTGCTATACCTGAGGAGGAGGAGGAGGAAGAGGATGAGGAGGAAGAGGAGGAGGAGGAAGAAGACTTGTCTCTCTCATACTGTTCTTGGGAAAATAGTCCAGCCTTCCCATCTTGCTTATGGAAATCTGTCTCTCCATCTGCAAGGCACATAGAGGCCAGGGGATGAGCATTTCCCACCCTTCCCACCCCAGGGACCACCCAGTCCTCTCCAGGGTTCTACTTGGACTTGAGCCAGGAAGGACTGGATTATCTTCCCAAATATCTAGGGCCAATGCAACGTGCAGGAGACCAAGGCTCTCAGAGATACCAGGGGCTCAAGAAAGGCTCAGTACAGAGATCTATCTGAATATGGACTCAAAAAAGGGGTTTCTAAGCCCCCTGCCCTGCCCAGGGAAAGCTAGACTCTGTAGAGGAGTTGCCAATTTAGGATCCTTTGTAAATTACAGCCAAGATGGGGTGTGATCAAGCCCTAAACCTTCCCATTCCCCATTCTGGGGTCACACAGGACCCTCTCTACCTTCTAGGGGTATCCCTAGTGCCAGCCCAAGCCCCCAGAGAATTCTTGAGATTTGGCAAGCAGCTGAGGGTCCCCATAGCTAGATAGCACAGGAAGACAGATTGGACCATGCACATGTATGTGTGCATGTGTGTACAACCACTACTTCCCCATTTCAACTGTGATTTGAGGCCCTGTGCAAAATGAGCTGAGCAGGGTCTTCTTCCATCCCTTCTACTTTTGGACTCCACCTCCCATGTGGTTTTGCCCAGAGGGTCAGAGAAGGCAAACGTACAGTCTAGATCTTCCGTTTCTCTGTGGACTTGACTGTTGTCTTGAGGCTGGGAGGGGGATACTGAAGTCTCCATGGCTTTTCCTGGAGGAATAACAATAATCAGTAGTTAATATCACCTTAGTTAATATCTTAATATATAAAGAGCTTGGCAAATAAATAAGAAAAAGACAAACACTCAACATTCAAAGGAATAAGAAAATTAATTAACAAAAAAATGGTAGTTCTGTTGGCAAGCAAGAAGGCCAGGGGCAGTGGAGGGAGGAGGATTAAAGGAGTGGGGAATTGGGGTGGTGGGTATTGGTTAGACAACTAGCAGGGGGCTTCATGAAGGAAGTCAGTTTTTATCTGTACCTGACAAGTCAGGCACCATCTTTTTTTTTTTTTTTTTTTTTTTTTTTTTTTTTTTTGTAGAGACAGGGTGTCTCTATGTTGCCCAGGCTGGTCTTGAACTCCTAGGCTCAAGCAA